ACTTTAGTTAGCAAACAAAACGAAACTGCAAGCAATTTTCCTATTTAAATGCCGGTTACTTGGTTAGTTTCCCATCCCTTTCTCTCTCTCTCTCTCGTTCCAACTATCGCACACTCTGTCTCTCTCTCTATCTCTCTTATACTATTTTTCTATAAATCCATCACTCATGCTATTCAGCTCGAATATTTGCAATTGATAGAAATATTTCATAATACTCAACGAAGGTCTCATTATAGAATTTTCCTATAGCTAGTATTATTAGCATTTTTATAGAGGAATGGTTTTTAGCATATTACGAATATAATAAATTTCCATTTCTACTATGCTTTTTAATTTGTTCTTTTGTTCATAGTGCTAAGTTTCAATTGATCAGAAAGGATCCAGTCTCTCAACTGCTTTTATTTATTATGATTTTGTTTATTATCAAAATTTTATTTATTTATTTATATTTATTTTTTCATTTTAAAAATTGAACTTGAGCCTATTTTTTGTTCAACTTCAGCGCTGAAAGTGTTCGATGGTTTATCGATAACTTCTGTCGAGTGTTCGATACCAAAAAATTGAATATATTGCGCATAATCATGTGAAATACGCTTAAGCTTTGTTGGTCGAGCGCGTATTTGAAGTTTGTTAGCCAAACCTTTTGTTAAACCCCTGCTACAGTTATGTTTTATTCCGTAGCTTAGGCACGAGTCACGAAATTTTCGAGTTACGATTTACGATTTACGATCTTAGAGTTTAGTTTCTTAGTTGGGTGCATTATTGCCTGCTCTCTTCTTTTTCTCTATATGATATCTTTCTCTCTTGCTCTCTGCCTCCTTCTTTTGTATATTTTCCAATTTCGCTTATTTATTTCTCTTGATTACGTTCCATTCCGTTTAAGTATACACATTGAGACGTTCTCTTTCGTTTCTTTATACTTGCTTAGTTTCATGCTGTGCTTTATTCATTTCACAATTTCCGTAGCGATGCAATGCAATCGGTAAGCCGAAACTATCCAACACTGATAGATGTATTGTTATTGTCATTGTCATTTATCGTATTCGTTATCGATATCGTTCCATTGCACGCACATTCCCACAAATTTTTGACTCATTTTCGTTGCAACACAACCGGAAGTGAACAACAGCAAATACCTTTTCCAAGCCCTAGTCTCCCCCCAAAGAAAAAAAGAAAGAAAGCTGAATCCCCATGAGCAATCGAGCAATCGATAAGTCAATTATTATTAAGATAACGAAGAGGGATGTGAACGACGACAAAACATAATTAGTTCAATAGTATAATATAATGATGTATTGAAAAATTGATGAAATTGAAAGCCTCTGAAGATATTATATTATAAATAAAAGAAAGTCTTGTTTGATTTAAGAAGTGTTCTTAATTTATCCACGATATATCACGTACTTGATTACTCCAGTCTGAAACTCAACTCATTGCCCCCGGTTACGAAATTAAACAATTTTTATCACATTTATTTCCTTTACCATAATTATTTTCTCCATCTTGATCAGAGTTTTACTCATCCAATTGGCTTTGGCGTACTTTGTTTTTACAACAATAATTGGCATCATTTCTTTTAATTTACTAATTAATAGTTCTATCTAAACATGAATTGCAAATGAAACCCATATGACAAGCTGTGACTGAGTGAGTAAACTACAAAAACAACAAATATTCCAAAACCCAAATGTGAAATCGAAACGAATGAGCGAGCGAACGAAATGATCGATAAATCGATAAAATCAACAAACCAAATGTTAAACTTATATATCCATCTATATGTATATATATACATATATAGAGTATATCTACTACTTAATGAAACAGTAAACGACAGTCAATTATTGTTTCCCTAGGCTAATTATATATACATACTTGTATATGTATTTAGTATAGTTATAGCAACTAAGTTAAGTTATAAACGAATTGCTACTAAACTCTCATATAAATCAAGTCATCCGTAGTACATATCATATAGATCAATTGTTGTTTGTCTTGCACTAACATCTTATGATTATTTCGAGTCTTATGTCTGAGTATTTTGTGTTGTGTTTTGTGTATGCATTAGTTTTGTGCACTTAATTTACTAATTTAATATATGTATGTATAATAATAATCCTAAGCTAAATCTGAGTATCGAATGCCTCAGATTTGGGTTAACTGTATTTAGTGTATTTTTGGCTAGTCTGAATCGTATATAAATAGCACACTTCTAACTGTAAATTTGCGTACAATACAACCAAAATGTATATATATATGTATGTTATATATCTACAATTCCACAATTTATTTTGTTAATTTTTAATTTAAAACAAGTATTTAGTTTTTCCTTTCTCCCATTTTCCTATTACAATAATTTTCTCAACATTCTTGTGCCAAATTTCCTCACTCTTTAAATCTATTTTAAAGCAAATCAAATATTTGGTATTTTCGTAGATTTCATTTTGATATTCTTTTTTGTTATTTTATATATATATTTGTTTCTTATCTTTCTGTTCTGGTTCAGTATATGAAAGTGATCGCTATACTAAAGTCCCTTAGCCTAATCGACCTATTCGAGAGCCTTTGTAGACAATAAATTCAATTTAAAAATGCTTTAAACC